TATTATATATAAAAAAACAATAATAGAAAATAATAATTGTTAGAGTAATAGATGAATATATAATAATATAAAATACTAATTATGAAATCATATAAATTATTATTATTATTATTATTATTAGGTTTTTTTACTTGGAAGCAAACTTAACGAATCCTTTGCTCACATCTTTTTCATCGACAGTTAAAACACCTTGAATTGTAGCATTTTGTTGCCTAAAAACAAAGAATGCAAGTTTTGAACCTAGCAATACACACAAACCATTTAACCATTTAGCTAATTAGTCAATCAAGTTGATCAATTAGTTAATTCTTACTGGTTGGTCTTGAGGTTTGTACTCTAGCTCGAATGTTTACTGTTTCACCAGTACGACTAGCATTAATATCAGATATCAAAGTTCTTTTAACACCTAAGAATATAAATGTATATTTATACAAGCTATCAAAAATAAATAGCTAGTGTAAGGATTACGCAATTTATACATACTGGTCCTCTCTTGTGATTGATTCATTGGTTTTTTACCATAATTTTCTGAGCCATAACCCTAAAAAACAAAAAACGAATCAATTATCATTAAAAGTAATCAATCAAGAAAAAAATAGACATCTTTGTTTTCTTTTCATTTCCCATCAATAAAAAAGAAATGAAAAAAGTTTACCTCCGCTTTTTCACGTGCGGCTTTTTCAGCAGCTTCTCTTGCTTCACGTTCAATTTTCTTTTTTTCTTTTTCCTTTTCTTTTTCCAATTTCTTTAATGCTTTTTTGGAAAGTGGTTTCCCTTCAGAATCTAAAACTAAAGCTTCCTCTTCTTCCTTCATATTTATTTATTAATAATTAAAAAATTTTTTGATGATGATAATAATGTATTTGTCACATGATCGGAAATGATCTACTATCGCAGCAACAATAATTTGTTGTAATATATTTGATTGATGATTGCAGAGAATTAAAAGATATAGAGATGTTCTCTTCGAAATTCATATCCCCAAAAAATGATATAGAATCATTTTCACATTTGAAATTTAAAGATATATTAAAAGCGTCACGTCTGTCGCAAACCAATTTCGGGAACGATTTTATGGAATATTGTTTTAAACAAATTCAAAAAACGGGGGGGGTTTAAAGGAAGAAATCTGTAATCATTACAAGAAGTCAAACTTAATATTCAAAGACTTGTAATAATGATGATAAGATTCCGATAATGATTACATTGATCAAATAACAAAATTCAAATATGAAACATACAAATGATTTATAATCTTGGCCTTGTTTTCTTGTAAGATAATTTTTGCTTTAAATAAACAGTTAAAGATAGAATTTTTTGTTGATAACAATATATTCCAATCCTGGTCATAATTATCTTTATCCAATTAGGACATCCATGTGTGTCTAGTATAGAACTGGATATCAGATCATTATAATCATAATAATTTGGACCAAATTTTTCTACAATATTTTTTAAAGTATCATAAAAAGTTGACCCCTTGAATTAAATTCAAAAACAAGAGTTATAGGTTAGAATCCTAAAACATCATGCTAAGAATAGTGTATATGGAGCATATTTAAATAAGTGGGGATTATTGTTAATACCTCTATGTGAAATAAATTTAAATCGTTTTTGGATATTTGGTCATCTGCTGCTCTTTCTTGCCTAAGAAATAAATATAAAGGTAAGTTAATTTTAATCTGAATTAGAATGATGAAAATTTGCAATTCTTTTTAAAATAACACTTACGTAATGATCTCGATTTGTTTTGTTTCAACTTTTCTTCTTGTTTTTGATGATAACTTTTTTTTTATATTTTTTTTTTTTAAAAATAAAGTTATTAATAACTAGAGTGACAATGAGCGGTGATAACCACCACCATTCTTAAAACACTTACCCTTTCATTTCTGTTGCATTTTTTCCATTTTTTCTTTTTCTTGATTCTTTTTTTGGTGGCATTTTGAACAAAAAAAGAAAAAAAAGTTTATTAATTGATCGCAAAATGCATGCAATTAATTATTTATGTATATATTAGTATGGTTTTTTTTGTTGACGTGATTGATTTTTTTTTTTTGGAAAAACAATCTTATTTTAACAAGATGACAAAACGTGGTTCTCCTAAAGAAGATGTGTTAATAACAGAGGTACTATTTTTTATTTGTATTGATATATATAGTCGCACCTGTCTATTTGCATGCTGTATATTTGCATAATCTGTTCATTTGCATAAAGGTAGCTTAGTCCCACATTGGGACTTATGAACTATTTGCATAATGTAAACGTGCATATGCATCAAAAGTGATCCTGATTCTACTAAGTCCCCACAACATATATATGCATATTTATGCTATAAAAGGAAAAAGATCAACTAGAATTTATTTTATTATTATTTTTCAAAAAAATCATTAATAGCACTTTGTTTCATAGAATCAGAATAAATCTTTTTCACAGTATTATTTACACTAGCCAACTTTTTAATTTCATCTGAACAATCTCTAGACTGCTGCAACAAGAATGTCA